CCCTGAAATTTCTGGCTAAGCACAGGCTACGACACCCTGTATTGTTATGGTTTTAGCACAGTACCGCGCTTGCTATGAAAACTGTGCGGAGTCGAGTTTAATGAGAATTTAAATTTAATTACTAATGATTATATAGACAGCACCTCTTTATATTCGTTGCATATGCACGAAAATCGAGATTTTATAGGTCTTTCAAAATTCAGAGGCGCATGCAAAAAGTCAGAGAGTTTCGCCTCTTAGATTCGGTGTCATTAGGTGAACAAGTTGTCCGTCTGGTGTTGTCCGGACTAAGAGATTCTGTTCAAGGAGCTTAGAACTATGTACTGTAAACTCCTCTTGATTCTGTTAGCTTAGAACTACTGTAAACTCCTCTTGAGTCTGTTAGCTTAGAACTATGTACTGTAAACTCCTCTTGGGTCTGTTAGCTTAGAACTACTGTAAACTCCTCTTGATTCTGTTAGCTTAGAACTACTGTAAACTCCTCTTGATTCTACTAGCTTAGAACTACTGTAAACTCCTCTTGAGTCTTTGATTCCCTGTAAAGACTTCTCTGTTGACACCCACCTCTTGGCGCTCATATGACTTTATGCAGTTGCGAGCGCCGTAAAACCCTCTACTATTTAAAAAAAAAAACAACTCTCTGACTCAAGTGTCTTTAGGCCAAATTCAAAGGGGGAAATATATATATACTGACATGTTCTTACTTTAAAATTAGTTTCATTTTGGCTTTACATTTCTTCTTCTTCTCAGTTGTGGTACAGGGAAACTACTCTCCACACAAACGCCCGACTTTCTGAACGGAGCAGACGTAAGGGAAGTAATGTAGTAATAATAATAATAATAGATAACATTTGTATAGCGCATATCCCCACTCAACAGCAAGCTCTATGCGCTTTACACTATATTATATTACACTAGACCATAGAACACTCCGAAACATTCTCAGCTTCCCGGGAAGCATACAGTGCAAGCAGCTGATTAAGCGCACAAACACTAACAAACCGACAAGATCTTTCGCTGTCTATAGCCGGGTACCCATTCCCACCTGGGTGAAGTGAGGAAAATTTGTGTAAAGTG